GGGTCTTCTCTGGGGTCTTCTCTGGGATCTTCTCTGGGGTCTTCTCTGGGATCTTCTCTGGGGTCTTCTCTGGGGTCTTCTCTGAGGTCTTCTCTGGGGTCTTCTCTGGGGCCTTCTCTGGGGTCTTCTCTGGGGTCTCCTCTGGGGTCTTCTCTGGGGTCTGGGGTCTTCTCTGGGGTCTTCTCTGGGGTCTCCTCTGGGGTCTTCTCTGGGGTCTTGTCTGGGGTCTTCTCTGGGGTCTTCTCTGGGGTCTTCTCTGGGGTCTTCTTTGGGGTCTTCTCTGTGGTCTTCTTTGGGGTCTCCTCTGGGGTCTTCTCTGGGGTCTTCTCTGGGGTCTTCTCTGGGGTCTCCTCTGGGGTCTCCTCTGGGGTCTTCTCTGGGGTCTCCTCTGGGGTCTCCTCTGGGGTCTTCTCTGGGGTCTCCTCTGGGGTCTCCTCTGGGGTCTTCTCTGGGGTCGGGGGTCTCCTCTGGGGTCTTCTCTGGAGTCTTCTCTGGGGTCTTCTCTGGGGTCTTCTCTGTGGTTTTCTTTGGGGTCTTCTGGGGTCTCCTCTGGGGTCTTCTCTGGGGTCTCCTCCCAGCAGATATGCTCAAAGCATCCAGATCCCTGAACTACATCAAGTGGCTCCTCTCAATGTTATTATTTTATGTACATTTTGTTTTATTGTCTTAAAGAGTCAACCCTTATTTAGGGCTAATATTAGCCAATGTTTACAAAAATGCATAGCACGGACGCTTGCTATCTCAGCTAAAGGCTGTTGCTGTAGTGAATCWCAAGGTCACATGACCAGTGCACACTCTAGTTGTCTCTAGCATTGTTTCAAAGGGTTAATGTAAATCAAGTTAATGAAGTAAATCATCCCTCACACGGGGCATCCATTTAATTCAGGGGTGTCCAAACTTTTTTAGTCAGGGCCAAATACAGAACAATAAACAAAGGGCCGGGCCACACACTACAWGTGACATATTGATACATGAATAATGTGAGTATTTGTAACTCACCTCTGACTCTGATAGAGTTCAGGGAGTGAGAGAAGCTGATGTTGACTCTTCAGAGCATCATCACATTACATTTCATTCAGTTCTAACTGCACACACTCTTCACTTTGTCTGCATCCACCAGGAAGTGGTTGAAAACAGCTTCATTTGTTCTTCAATTCCAGAATAATCTTGGAAACGCTGGTTGAATTCTGTCATGAGAGATTTAATCACAGACACACATTTCTCCTTTTTAGCAGAAAGATGGGTGTTTGGAAAAGCAGACTTGGTTTCAGACAGAGCAGGAAAGTGTGCAGCATTAAAGCCTTGTAGTTGTGTCTCAAACAGACCACATCTCCGTATTCAGCGTCCATGTCAGGTAGGAAAGCCTGAAACTCTCTGTGGTACTCTGTTACCTTGGTGCACACCAACCAGGCCATTCCTCTGTGCTCGCTCGTCATGGCGGGAGCTCCATCCGTTGTTACTCCACAGAGCTTGTCCCATTTAAGGCCCATCTTTTCAGCTGAACCACTGAACCCAGTGTCAGTCACAAACAGGTTCTTCTTCTCTTCTCTATAGTTTAGTTTCTGGGTCTGGCTCCATCCAGTGTTGAAACTGAGAAGTGCAACAGAGTTGAGCTCAAAGTTCTTGTGCGGGCCATATTCAGTTATATTTTCAGAATTTGTTGCGGGCCAATAAAGACAGCACGGCCCGCGGGCCGTAGTTTGGACACCCCTGATACAATTGGTTGAAACAAGGAAGAATTTAAAAATTGATGCAAATCATTCCATGTTAAAAGACAAAAGTCTGTTTTAAGTTAGTATGAAGATAAATTAGTGTCAATGATTTGAAAGAGCGAGCACAAAGGTTTGATAGAGGGAGCAGCAGTGCATGCACGCAGGAGCACAGATCTGCTCACTTGTAAACTCCACTTTGACACTTTCTTACCACTGCATGATGCACATGTGTAATGCTGCGTTCAGGGTCTGCTGAGAAGCTGGTACATCTGAGTTTAGGTTGTTGCAAAGGTTGTTTTGTGACCTTATAACCACTACACTGAACACATGCACTGACACCAGTGGTGTCCACAGTCAGTCCTCAGGGACCGGTGTCCTGCATGTTTCTGGAGCTGCTCTGTTTCAWCACAGCTGAATCTAATGAGTGCTTAATTAGTAGGTCTCAGTAAGCCATCAGAGTCTGCAGAAGCCTGCTAATTAAACACTCCTTAGTAGGGGTGTCCCCATCCCATGTTGATATGGAGTATCTGTCTGATATCAGCCAAAAAACTCTTCTAATTTATTAAATTGTATAATGTTCTTCAGTTTAAAATGTATGTGATCCATTGGTTAAACATAAATGGGTCAATATTTCTCATACCTTCTCTTTTTCACTGTTTGACTTGATCAAGACTTTTCTAAGATTTTACATTACAAAATAGGTAAAAGTGTGTGATTTGTACTGATATGGTATCGGGTTAATAGCAGTATTGGTCAATATCAGTATCGTATCAGAAGTGAAAAGTTGTATGGAGACAGTCCTGCTCCTTAGGTTCAGCTGTGTTGAACCAGGACAGCTCCAGAGACATGCAGGACACTGTCCCTGAGGACTGACTGTGGACACCACTGGCTTACACTGATATAAGATCATACCAAAATGATAACTTTTCAGAACGGCTCTTTGAAATAAGYTAATTTAAGTTGGTAGTTTCTCATTTTCTACAAAGCATGTTTGTCATAAGGGAAAATAAATTTCTGAACACTATCATGTTTGTGCAATATTCAGTGTTTCCCCTACCATTATACAGCCCCCCCCACCCCAGTTCAGAGACACCTGGACATGTCTCCAGTTCACCAGAG